AACAGAGGCGTGCCTTCCCTTTTACCCTAGTACGTTTTTTGATTGGATGAAAAGAGAAGGCACGCCCCAATTTGCACGACAATTTGACAACTAATACATATTCCCAATAGTATTGTCCCGAATTGCCTTATGTAAACTCGGCGTAACCATAGCGATTTGGAGGTGAAATAAGGTAACCGTGAACAGTCGCTTTGATTGTGAACTTTAGGCAAACAAAAAGAAGATCACACTTTCTTTTTTTGTTTTGATGTTTACTTTCCACTGTTTTTTCTTGCTTCAGTGAAAAAGTTGTCCAGTTAAGAAAGTGCATTCCGCTATCCAAAAACTTGGAATATTCACAATCCTGTTTTCATTGCTGATATACTGAATTAAAGTTTATGTGCGCAAGATGGATATCCACGCCTGGTTGCCGGTGATATTTTGCAGTCTTTCCATACCACTATCCCTTTTTATGTGGCTGGGTAACTTGGCCTTTTCGAAATTTTGGCACTCTAATGAATTCGAAGGTAAATTAATACATGCTCATAAATCATTTTCGATAAGCGGACTTACAGCACCTTTGCTCTTTGCAGAGCCCCCTGTGATACCGCCGACAAGATGGCTATTTTCAACTTTGGCGCCCCTGGCGCTTATGATGATTGCGCTACGCAGGAAATCGGTTAACAAATCGGGTGCTGTATTGGGCATACTCTTCGCATTCATCTTATCCATAGCAAATCATGCATTCTTCGCAAGCTTGGCGGCATTCTTTTTCAGCTCTTCGCGTGCGACCAAGTTCCGCGCACATTTAAAACGGAAATTTGAAAAGGATTTTAAAGAGGGTGCGTAAAATGGGAGAAAAATGCTTTTAATTACTCTAATCTAGTTAGCAATTAACTCATAGGCGAAGGCCAACGCAACTGGGTACAGGTTTTATGCAATGGCGGAATGGCTACACAGCTGGCTATATTATATCTCATAGATTGCGGCAGTTGTGAGCGTCCCATCGACTTTACAAAGGAGTATCGCTCCAGCTGGTTGGGCGTAGCAGTTATGAGTAAGTGATTTTATCGCCAAAGTGCTTATCAGCCACACCTATTAACGTCACACACTTCTGCAGGCGCTTTCGCATGCTGCAATGGCGATACATGGGCAAGTGAACTGGGCAGTGTATTATCTAAAAGCGAACCATTTCTCATTACCACACGTCGCCGTGTACCGCGGGGCACTAACGGTGGCGTTTCGTTACAAGGACTTGTCGCTAGTGTCTTGGGTGGTGTGCTAGTAGGTTTCGTTTCCTATTTAACTGTACGCTACACTGTTGACGCACATGCATTACTTACTAGTCCGCCACAGTGGCCTCTTGTCATATTCGGTGGCATTGGTGGATTGTTTGGCTCGCTGGTGGATTCAATACTTGGCGCTACAATGCAGTACTCGGGCATCGATAAGGAAGGCAAAATTGTTGAGTGTCCCGGTGCGGGCGTGCGTCAAATCAGCGGTTTGCGCATACTAGACAATCATAGTGTAAACTTAATTTCGAGTATTGTAACAGGTGTTACCATGCCCTTGATTGCTTTAAAGTTTTGGCCTGTTTGAGGTGGTTGAAAGGAAATATTATCAAGATCAACCCCAACGATGCTGATATTCGGCAAAAATGTTTATCAAGTTTTTTAATGAAGTATAATTAATTTTAATGTATTGTACGGTGCTAATATTTTGTTGTTTAAAATCCTTTATTAGAGTTTTTTTGCAAAGCATTCTAATTCTACTCCATACATATGTATGTAGATGTTTGCTGAACATGTCTACCTACATAAATCGCCTACCGACGAAGGATAATAATTACTAATTATTTATTACAAACGTATTCTGTAGTAATGAACTTTATTAAAAACGAAAACACCGAACTGTTTATAGCGCTCACCGGCTACTCAAAGTAAAAATGTTATTCCGATTCAACAAAAAAAAATATTTAAAAAAATGTGATGCGTCTCGAAGGGATAACTTAAAAGAACTGGATTAATTTAATTAATTAATTAAAGCATTATTGCAGCTATTTGTATTATAACACGCATGTATTTAAGTAAATGTGATTAATAAACATTTGTACGTGCTTAATGAAATGCATATGTGGCGTCTGTTAAAACTTGGGAAAGGTGTTTAGTCTTCTTTTCTTACTTAGATATAGGAGAGGTTCCAAAAGGCTGAGTTGTCATCTCTACTCCATTTCCGTAAGCAGGAGAGATGTATTGTCAATGTTATTGTAACAGCATACAAGTTGCCCAAAGGGTATATGACCGCCGCTTTTAACTTGTTACTGTCCACCCTGATTATCTCCGAGATCTAGAAAATGTGTAGGATCATTCCCTTTCTCAAGCCAGCGAGAAGGTGGACGTAGGAGACTGATACAGACCCATCTCCCTCCTATCCGCAGTGGCAAAAATCATGGAAGCACTAGTCTTCCCTAGCCTGACGAAGCATCTGAAGTTACCATAGCTTTGAACGACATCACACAGACTAGCGAGTCTGAACCAACGTCGCCCCTGAGATAGGACGGCCCTAGTCGCAGTTGACCTGTCGAAGGCATTCGACACGATGAACCACGCGACCCTCTGCTAAGACGTCCTGGACTCGTCGCTTTCAGCTCGGACGAAGCGGTGGATAACCAGCTATCTGTGTGGCCGTCAATCAAGCCACGTAGGATTAAACAGGGTGTCCCTTAAGGCAGCGTACTCTCCCCGATACTCTCCACATAGCAAAACTCCCTCCGCAGCCAGCGGTAGTCAATTTGGTAAGCTACGCTGATGATTGCACAATAATGGCGATGGGTCAAAACATCGAAAGCCTTTGCGATCAAATACCCTACTATCTCACCGATCTTTAGAATTTCTTCACTGCAAGGAGCCTCAAAGTCTTCGCCGAAAAACCTACCTTCCCAACCTGGCCCAAGGAGATCAGACTTGAACTGGACGTCTTCGTCGATGGCGCGAAAATACCGACGACTAATCACCCCGAAATTCTGGGAGTGACGTTCGATAGCTTTTTCTCCTTTTCCGCACACGCCTTAGCCACTTGAAACAAACTACGGGCCAGGAGCAAAGTGCAAAAGTCGGCAGCACCTGGGGAGCCGATAAATAAAGCCTGCTCGCAACTTACAAGGCAATCGGCCGGTCTGTGGCAAACTACGCAGCGCCAGTGTGGACAGCGGGGAAGAATGACACGCAGTGGAAAAATCTGCAAACATGTCAGAACGCAGCTCTACGTACGAAGAAAGCTAGATGGTGGCGATTAAAGACCATAACACCATGTTGTGAAATGAAACGTTTGGGTGGTGCCACCGTCTAAATAGCTACCTCTCTCGGCTGAACACAGAAGTGGAAAACACCTGCCCCGCATGTGGGAAAGTTCTCACAACACCCAGCATCTCTTCACATGCGTCTCCAACCTTATGACCCTGGCACTGAAGGCGCTCTGGACCGCGCCAATCAACTCCGCCCACTTTCTCCGCCTCATTCATGCAGAGCCGGAGGATGAATATGATGATTCATGACGTAACCTGGGGGGTTGATCACTGCCGCTACAACAACAACAACAAGTATACCATAGGATAAGTCATCATCGGTCATCAGAAATTGAGTTTTTCACTATACTATTTAACCCAGAGAGTTGTCACCCGGAGAGTACAATTATCATCCTTAGAACAGTGAAAAGAACGGAGTGATGTGACTCAGGCAGACCCACTACACTACTTTCTCCTGCGATAAGGAACTGGAAGATGTACATAAGTACTTACAAACAACTATACGCTTGGATTCGCATTAGCTTGGCCTCAAGCAGGCATTGTCGCACAACCTATTTGAAGGTGCTTGACCGGCAGCTGTGGCTGTGTGGTAAGGGAAACCGCAAGCCACTACGAACTCAGGCCGAAAGAAACTACGGCCGAAAGAGTCTACCGGTTTGGTTGAATTACAGCCAGTTTTGGGGGTGTGGAAGGTTTCAACTATCTTCTATGTGCCAATGAATTAGGTTCCACAGGCCTATTTTTACAAATAAGGGTAGCCTGGGACTTCTCGAGACTGATGTAGTTATACATATTTTGCAACTGTCGTCCATTTCAGTAGAAAAGGATGCTTATCAGTGATGAGGATGGTAATTTTAGTAATATCTGGTTGAGGTTGTCCGCGGAATGAAGTATGAACTCCTCAAGTCTGCATGCAAATTAGTTAGAGTGGTTCCCGCAATCAAACCAGTAGAATCTTTGGCTTCCATTGCTGTAGGTCATTAAACGGTAAAAAAGACTGACGTATCACACATTACATTGGATAATCCCCAGACACAGGTCTTGCGGGTAGGTTAACTTTACTCGTACCAAAGCGTCAGAAGTTTTATCGGGCAATATTTTTGGATCATCTACCTATCCGTAGGATGGTAAGAAATCACTTGCGACTTACATTTTTTTAGTTATTGAAACTCACACATTAACATTCCAATTTTTATTAAATTCAGTAAATATGTAAGCACCTATTCCTAAAACTCTTAACTATGTAAGTAATTCTTAATTCTTTCGATGACTGCTGTGAGAAATCTTTCCCGCGTAAGTACGCTTCGGTAGATGCAAATTATCATTATATCCTGTCGAGATCGAATTTTGCATTGGCTCTTCCTCCTGCTCGTACAAGGAACTGCCGCCGGCCGACATTGATGGTTTCGCTACGCCAATCGAATATTTGAACATCAAATCTGCCAAAGGTGTAGAGATGATCTGCGAGGCAGACGCAACCGTCTTGAAGGTGATGCGACGCTTGCGCATATGCACAGTGCTATTTTGATGCACATAACTGTACTTGTTTGGTGCGGCGAAATATTCTTCCTTGATTTGTGGTTTGTAGCTAGGCATGGCAGCTCCATAGCCGCTCGACACAACGTGTGGCTTAAACTGCTGCGTTGTTGTTGTGGTTGCGCTTGAGGGCTGCGGCAACTGTACACCATAACCGCCCGTTAAGTGTAACGGTGCAGCGGTAGTGCTGGTGGTGGTTGTTGTTTTTGTTGCTGCTCTCGACGGCAACTTTGGACGCGTGCCGCCGCTATGCACCTTCGACGCGCTACCCATTATCATCGGCTTTGGCAACTCCATTGTGCTCGGTTTTGTACCCGCTGTGCCATGATAATACTTCTCCGCCTCACCTTTGCGATAAGGACCTATCATGTCATCGTCTTCCTCGAAGTTTGTCGCGCCATATGCAAACACTGGACTATTTGCATTCGTTTGTAGCGCCGGCGCACCATAACCGCTCATCTCCTTGCCAATAGCGCCATTCGCTGTGGTATCGCTCGTCACTGCATTATCATCTAAGCGATACTCACTCGGCATACTTGTAGCGATTATATGTTCCATTTGCTCCTGCAGCAGTTGATAGAGTGGCGGCGCTGTATCGTTGTATGGCAGCGTTTCGCCATCCGGCACATATTGATTGTTAATGTAGGCGCTTCGCCCGTCTAAATCGTTTGTGCCAACTGGTGTGACCGCGCGTCCTTCGTCGGCTGTCTGCGCGCGCGCAGTGGACTCATCGGCGTGCACCAGTCGCGGCGCTTGATATGTATTAGGGGGCGCATTTGTGGAGGTTATGGCGGTGGCAGCTCCCTCAGTCGTTGTAGTAATATTCCCTGTCACTGGCGCGCTGTTGGTCGAATTCACCGCCGCCGCTGAAGACTCCAAGGCTACTGCGCGAGCTGCAAAGAAGAAGTGATATATTAGGTAAAGAAGTAGGCAATTTTTAACCACACCCACTGCTAACTTACCCACGCAAATTATGCAAAGTAATAACGGTGTTGTACTGATAATTCTTGCAGCCATTCTGTTAATGTATAACTGCGCAGGCGCCGCTAACACTTTTATACCAAGGCTATACCGATGTTCCCTTGCTCCAAGCAAAAAAAAAAAAAAAAAAAAAATTAAAACAGTGCCTTTCTAATGGGAAAAGCAGCGTAGCTATTCTCAAGCTTTGCGGTGACCCGTCCAAAACTTGCGCTAATGCAAGTGGAATTAATAAATTAAAATAAAATAAAATAAACGAGCCGCGGTGTTGCAAATCTCTCAAATACTCCCTTTTAATGAGATTCTCATTAAGCGGAGTGATCTTCAATTCTTCATGTGGCACACACAATCCAAACAATCAACGTGCCGCGTCATTGCGCACAATCATTCATTCATACTTACGATTACTACCGATCGATGGCATATCTAATCGAGTTTAATCACTTTGTGGTTGTGGGCGAGAAAGTTTACGATGATGGCTCAATTCAAATATAGTAGGCACTTCTGTGTAGCCCTAGGTTCTAATTTTGCTTTCATCTGCTCATTACGCTCCTGACGTTTGTAATGAAATTGAGTTATTAGCCGTTGCTGGTGCTTGTGAGACTAATAAATAGAAAGCTAAGTAATTAAGATGAATCGATTGTGGTTTACCGGCAAGCTTCGGAGCGTAAATGCATTTTCATTGACAAATACAACGATTGCACTGGCTTGGACTTGTTGCACAGAAAATATGCGCACGATTACAGTGGAAGCACCAAAGTACCGGAGCACCTGTACGCACTTGGTATGAGCAACAGGCGAATCTTCGGAAAGTAGAGCGAGTGTCAATTGCGGAGTTTTTCGGTATCGGACCAAACTGGTATGGGCAGAGGCTATAATCATGGCTGCTTATTCAAAGAGCTACCTTCTTGAGCTCAACAGATCGTCACCTGCCTTTGCACTGACATTATTATTACTATTTTTGTGAATAAAATACTGGGACCTCAAGACCTATTGTGCACCACTTCACAGATTTATAGTGTGTCTATTAACACAGTACACGAGAGAAACTTCAGAGTGGAGCCTAAATATACAGATTTTACTTCGTCCTCGGTTATTAAATATTCACCCAGGTATGTTTTGTGTTTTTGTATCAGTACAGGACATTCTTCT